TGGAATCCTAAGCCAGGATAGTAACGTGAAGAGAGGCAGAGGAAGACCGAAGTTGATTTGGGTAGAGGCAATAAAAGGAGACTTAAAAGAATGGAATATACCCAAAGACTTAGTCTTAGATAGGAGTGCTTGGAAAACAGCTATTCACGTGCCTGAACCTTGATTGCTTCTGCTGGGTTTCAACTCTAGCCTACCCCAACTTGTTTGGGACTTAAGGCTTTGTTGTTGTTGTTGTTGTTATTGTTGTTGTGAACAATTGCACCAATATCCAATCTTATGTGTCTTCTAAACCATATTTGTTGTAGTTTCAGATTTTAAAAAATATGGTTTAGAGGACACATAAGATTGGATATCGGTGCTATTGTTCAAATCATGTTATTCTATTTGGTAATCCCTTATTTGCAGCTCACTCCTATGAATTTGGTTATAATATTCCTTTGCTGGGAAAAATTACAAACTGTTTGTTGGCAACACTATCTGCAGTGGGTCTCATAACAAGAGCTGTGGTTTATATTAACATACCAGGGTTACATTGTTTGAGTAAACATGAATTGGATTGAGGAAAGATGGAGCATCCTCCAACCAAATAGCTTGCCGCTGTGGAGATTTTTTGAAAGGCATGCAATGGCAAAGAGTACTGGGAAGTTTCTGACAGTAGCGAGGCTGATGATTATCTTATGGAGTTGGTATACAACTATGATAAAGAAAATGAGTTTGAGGTTTGATAATGCTAAAGCTATGACAGACCACAATAATTGCAGAAATGGAGCAATTCATTTTTTTTGCCCAAAGTTTACTTTAGATAAATAATTTTCAAGGTCAGAAGTCATACTTCTTGTTAAAGGATTATACTTGGTTATCTCATGTTTCATGTCTACTGGTTGATGTGTCCAACTATCCAAAACCTATGTTACCTATACTGTCAAATTTGTGAAACTGCAAATTGTTATAAGCGAACTCCGCCTAAGTTGCCTCAACATAGCAGGTCATAAGCCCTGGTAAAGGAGGAGGGTTGTGATAGGCGTAGCGAGCCAACGTTAAATCTAGCCATTCTAATGGAGATGAAACCCGAAAGAAAACCGTTGGGGCGTAACCTTCTTAGCGACGCATCATATCGGAACCCGGGTATGGTGTTAAATGAGCAAGGGCCAGGTCATCACCCCCATGACGCGCTGTGTCGTGATCTGGGCACGGTGTCAAGTGAGCAAGGATCAGGTCATCGCATCCTTAGTGGCGCGCTACATCGGCGCCCGGGTGTAGTGAAAAATGAGCAAGGGTCTTCACATCTGAGTCGACGGGTGCGAAGGGTAAGGAAGCTAGTCGAACCAACTAGGATCTATTTTGGTAGTTGGAATGTAGGGTCGCTTATAGGTAAGTTAAGAGAATTAGTTGATACCGCGAATAAGAGGCGTGTAAATATATTATGCATTCAAGAGACTAAATGAAAGGGTCAGAAGGCGAAGGAGGTTAACAATACAGGTTTCAAGCTTTGGTACACAGGGACAGTCGCGAATAGAAATGGAGTAAGAGTTTTGATTGATAAGAGCCTCAAGAATAGTGTGGTGGGAGTGAGAAGGCAAGGAGATAGGATTATCTTACTCAAACTTGTCATTGGTGATATGGTCTTGAACGTAATTAGTGCATATGCCCCCTAAATAGACCTCGACGAGAGTGCTAAGAGACAGTTCTGGGAAGACTTAGATGGCTTGATTAGAGTTGTACCTAATAGTGAGAAGCTTTTTATAGGAGATCTTAATGGGCATGTAGGTACTACAAGCGCAGGTTTCGAGGCAGTTCATGGAGGTTTTGGGTATGGTAGTAGGAATCAGGATGGGGAGGAAGTTTTGGACTTTGCGGTAGCTTTTGACCAGATGATAGCCAACACTTTCTTTAGAAAGAGAGAATCTCATCTAGTGACCTTCAGTAGCGGACAACACTCTAGCCAAATTAACTTTGTCCTCGCAAGAAGAAAGGATAAACGAGCATGCTTGGGTTGCAAGGTGATACCAGGGGAGTGTGTTGTTTCTCAACATAAGTTTTTGGTGGCAGACTTTCGTTTTTAGGTGCGTGCCCGTAGGGATAAACAAGCTAAGATTGAAAGAACAAAGTGGTGAAAACTAAAAGGGGTGACGTTAGAGGTATTTAGAGAAAGGGTTATCAAAGAGGGCTCTTGGAAGGAAGAAGATGACATAAATAGCATGTGGGAGAAGATGGCAACCAACATTCGGAAGGTGGCCTCAGAGGTGTGTGGAGTAACCAAAGGAAGTGGAGGCGAGGCTAAAGATACTTGGTGGTGGAACGAGGAAGTCCAAAGGGCTATTAAGGAAAAGAAAGAATGCTATAGACACTTGTACCATGATAGGAGTGTGGACAATATAGAGAAGTACAAGGTGGCAAAGAAAACTGCAAAGCGAGCTGTAAGTGTGGCAAAGGGTAGAGCGTACGAGGATCTTTACCAACATTTGAGTATGAAGGAATGAGATAAGGACATTTATAGGATGGCTAGGGTTCGTGAGAGAAAGACAAGGGAGTTCAACCAAGTTAAGTGCATTAAGGATGAAAGGGAGCATCTCTTGGTGAAGGAGGATGAAATCCGACATCGATGGCAAGAGTATTTTAACAAATTATACAATGGTGAGAATACGGACACAACCTTTTAGTTGGATGACTCTTTTGATGACACCAATAGGTGCTTTGTGCAGAGAATCAAGAATCTAAGGTCAGAGAGGCGTTGAAAAGGATGAAAAGAGGTAAGACGATGGGACCGAATGGTATCCCAATCGAGGTGTGGAGATGCCTTGAGGACATAGCTATAGTATGGCTAACCAAGCTGTTTAACCATATTTTTCGATCGAACAAGATGCCTGACGAGTGGAGGAGAAGTATATTGGTACCGATCTACAAAAATAAAGAGGATATTCAAAGTTGTACTAATTATCGGGGAATTAAGTTGATGAGCCATACTATGAAGCTGAGGGAGAGAGTTATCAAGCATCGCTTGAGAGCAATAACGCGGGTCTCTATGAACCAATTTGGTTTCATGCCCGAAAGGTCAACCATGGAAGCCATTTTCTTAATAAGACAAGTTATGGAGCGGTATAGGGAGAAGAAGGACCTACACATGATTTTTATTGACTTGGAGAAGGCTTATGATAAAATACCAAGGAATATTATGTGGTGGGCTTTGAACAAACATAAAGTATAAACGAAGTACGTCGGGTTCATTAAGGACATGTACAACAATGTTGTGACTAGTGTTCGAACAAGTGATGGAGACACGGATGACTTTCCAATTAGGATAGGACTACATCAAGAGTCGGCTTTGAGCCCTTATCTGTTTGCCTTAGTGATGGATGAGGTCACAAGGGACATACATGGGGACATCCCTTGGTGTATGCTTTTCGCGGACGATGTAGTGCTACTTGATGAAAGTCGGACAGGAGTTAATCAGAAACTGGAGTTATGGCGGGAAACTTTGGAGTCCAAAGATTTTAGACTCAGTAGAACTAAAACTGAGTATATGAGATGCGACTTCGGCACTACTACTCGGGAGAAGGAAGATATTAGTTTGGAAGGTCAAGTAGTGCCTAGGAAAGATACCTTTCGATATTTAGGATCAATGCTACAGAGAGACGGGGATATTGATGAAGATGTTAGCCATAGAATCAAAGTAGGGTGGATGAAGTGGCGCCAAGCATCTGGTGTTCTATGTGACAAAAGGGTACCACAGAAGCTAAAAGGCAAGTTTTATAGGACGACGATTAGACCTGCTATGTTGTATGGTGCAGAATGTTGGCCTACGAAAAGACGACATGTTCAACAGATAAGTGTCGCGGAAATGCGTATGTTGCGTTGGATTTGCGGTCATACAAGAAGGGATCGAGTTTGTAACGATGATATACGTGATAGATTAGGGGTAGCACCAATTGAAGAAAATCTTGTCCAACACCGGTTGAGATGGTTTGGACATGTCCAACGGAGACCTCCAGAGGCACCAGTGCGTAGTGGAATCATAAGTCAGGATAGTAACGTAAAGAGAGACAGAGGAAGACCAAAGTTGACTTGGATAGAAGCAATAAAAGGAGACTTGAAATGATGGAATATACCTATAGACTTAGTCTTAGATAGGAGTGCTTGGAAAACAGCTATTCACATGTCTGAACCTTGATTGCTTCTGTTGGGTTTTAACTCTAGCCTACTCCAACTTATTTGGGACTTAAAGGCTTCGTTGTCGTCGTTGTCGTTGTCGCATATTGTTACCAAATGCTCTCTCTGTTCTGCTTAGTTATCCACCGTTTCTATGATTCTTCTATCCACTGATGACCTGACTAATGACTGTTTGTTCTTGTCACCGTCATCACAGTGTAGTTGAAATTACCTTTCTGACTATGAAGTGTAGTTGAAGTTACCTTCCTGATTGGAAGACAAGACTTGCAGCTAATTTTCTTTGTTTCCATTTGTGAAGCTGTAGCTGGTGGTGAGAAGAGCTCTCGTGTTACTGATATTTTTACTGCTCTAAAAGAGTTTCAACCTGTGATATAGTTAACCTATATGCCTTGAAGAATTTTGGAGACCAAGCAAACAAGCACAGATCCAAGATATTCAACACCAGGTAAGCATTATTTACACAAAAAGGTGCAATATTTACACAGCTCACAGGTCACATCACAAGCTACAAAGAATTTTCAGCAACTAAGAAATAAATTGCATGCTAAGGCTACAGTATCTAACATCAACCCAATACACACAGGCTGAAAAACATTTATTATTAAGCATTTCCCTTAAACATATAGCTAATATACATGGGTAGCAGTTCTCCACACCATCACTACATATGCTTGTGGTCCTATCTACCTGCTGGACATAGCTGTTGCAACCTAGATCGTTGCACAAGGTTGAAGATGCCTCATACAATGATATCTTCATCCTGTACTCACTCCATAAGCAGGCAGTACAAGTAGCACTGCACATTTTTCTTCTCTGATGCGCTATTGCCCTACTCAAAACTTGCATGAAGTGCCCAGGCGCTGCTTCATCCTTTGACCTGCTGCTGCCCTTGCGCTCTCGTGTAGTGCCTCTTTCAGCAGTTCCTGGAATTTTTCAAGGAATACATCCCACTCATCTGCACTCATATCCGACAGCCTGACAAAACACATACTTGATGGAAGTTGTTCATCAGCGCTCCTGTTCATGGCACTTTTTGAAGCATTGCCGTTCTGACCTATAGGTTTGCTAGGATTGTTGGGTGTATTCCATCCAGCATAGAAGACTCGATCATACTCGTTTTGATCTTCATGGCCATCACTGCCCTCATCAACGCTCTCGACGAGCTTAGACAAAGGGCTTCTGAAACTGGACCCCTTGGAACCCGAGCCATTGAACCTTGGTGATCGCATTACATCATTGTATTCTCCTACCACATCCATGGAAAATTGGAAATCAGTATCTTCTCCATGTTCAGCTGTGGCAGAGAAGGGCTCCCACTCTGCTACTCTCTTCCTGGCCTCCATACACACAACCTCCAGCTGGCTTGGTTCCTCCTCCATCCCTCTGAACTCCCTTGTCATCATCTCACCTATCTCTGCCAAGCAGAGTCCGAAAGCTGCAGCCTCCTTAAGGAAGATTGTGCACAGGACCAGAACACGTAGGCAGGCCTCACGTATCATTGGAAGTTCTCTGCGCAGCATCTGCACATCTTTCGTTGGATCAAGATTTCTTATGTACTCGAGTTCTTCCTCAGAGAACGGAATAGAAGCCTGAGCCCAATGAATCCACTCGAAGTAAGGGTCCTCCAAGTTCTCCGGCAAGCACATGCCGTGATCAATTGGGAACAGCTCTGTCTGGCAACCAAAGCGGCCTGTGCCACCTTTAAGCTTCCTCACCAGCACATTGCCGCCATGCCTGTCAGTGTTGAAAATCCGGATATCTAGTATGCCGATCCTATGAACAGCAGCAACAGGGAAGCTTGACGTGCCATGGTCGCTGGCGTCGAAGTCATGGGCGATGAACTGCTGGAATGAAGCAATCTTGCTGTTAACTTGCTGTTGCTGGTCATGAGCGGGTGCCAGATTTCCTCCATTTACCGGACAATTTATGTTGAAGATGGAGTGTGTTATCTTCACCAGAGCTGTCGCAGGAACATTGGCAAAGTTATCATGGTCCAACAGGAACGCCGCGACCTCCCTAAACCCTGTCTCTCCTACTCGCACAGATTTCTTCAGGCCCGGCTGACCAAGCGCCCTCCCGACAAACCCCTTGGGATTGTTTGGTGCAAAGGGCTCCTCGTCCGTCGGCTTCACAATAGCAACCCTGTCGCCCAAGACGTTCCTGAAGTAGTACGAGCCACCAAGGCCACTGCTAATGGGGACCGGATCCACGCCGCTCCTGATGGCAGTCACCACGTCGTCGACAAGGCGCTTCACCCGGGCGCAGCTGCTGGAGCAGCCAAGCATCTCAACCAGGCCACTGCAGTCCTTGTGCTCGAAGTCCTTGGAGACGGGGCAGAGGCACGGGGTGGAGCAGCTCCGGTTGATGCTGTTCCGGGTGAGCAGCAGCGGCGAGTCCGGGCGTATGAAGGAGAGGTCGTTCTCCAGGACGCGATCGCCGAAGGTGAGCGAGGTCTCGCCAGTGGGCACGTTGAGCGCGAGCTGCAGCCGGCGCTTGACGGTGTGCGCGTTGTCCCCGCGGTCCAGGTCCATGCCGAGCACGCAGCCGGTCTCCGTCTGCACGAACACCCGCCGCCTTCCCACCGGAGCCGGCGCCGGGGTCCGCTGGAGCTGCTTGGCCTCGTCCCGCCGGGACGCGCCGAAGAGCCGCCTCAGGAGCAGCGCCGGCACCTGGCTCTTGATGGCGCTGTCCAGGTTGGGGGACATGGCTTCCTCCTCTTCTTGGTGCGTGCGCCGTGCGGGGTGGACGACGCCGTCAGGGAGAGGGGAAGGCGCGCTCTTGTTGCTATCATCGGATCACGACGCCTGCAAACCAACCACCACCAGGATGATGGAAACAAAAGAAAAGGCAAGAATTTGCACTGAATCCCTCAACCAAACACGGAAATTCAAAACTTTCCTAGGAATTCAACAGTCCGGAACATGAAAAAAGGCAAGAATTCAACCGATGCGAAGGAGAGACGGCAAGTCAAATCTCGGCGCTCACCATGCGGGGGTAAGGTGCCGGTGGAGAACGGGGTGTGGGGGGTAGCCGCAGGGACCGGCCGTGGTGCGGAGATCGACGGCCGCGGCGGCGGCGGAGGGGACGGCGCGGTGCGGCGGCAGGCTAGCGGCGGAGCAGAGCCCGGTCGCTCATTCCATCTGCGCCTGGCTCCCCGAGCCCTGGCCTCTACTGCAACTCCGCACCCGCTGCCCAACGAATTCGGCTGGGCTCCGCTTAGTTTTCTTTCTCGCCCAGCAAAGCATTTTTTTCACTTGTCACAAAGCCCCCTCCACCTTCACACTATTCGAAAGCAGCTGCACCCGGGGCGCTGGCAAGTGGCAAGCAATCAGAGGCCCGCTGACCTGAAACGATAAACCGACGAGGGGCTATCCGTGAAAGGACAAATTTGGACGGGCACCATGATGGCGGGTGGGCCGTGCTCGCCGCCGCGCGGGCACACGGGATTGGCGAGCCGTGCCCGGAACGTGCCCCGTCCGTCGGTCTCCGGACGGACGGCCCGGATGAGGGCGAAGGGTTTCCGGGGACGGTTTCCTGGGGCGCGCCTGGTCGACGGCCAGGACGAGGGGAAACCCCCGGACCGCGCGGAAACGTCTGGAAGGGCCGAGCCCGCCGTCGGATGGCGGATAGGGGAGGCAGCTGGGCCGTCGGAATCGCGAGGACGCCCGGCCCTCTGCCCTCTGGTCGACCGCGATCTGGATAAGAGCGATTGGGCCGGCGTGACTGGATGACGTGGGGACCACCGCGTGGGCCCTGCCTGCGCCCGTCCCCATATTGATATGCATATGCGGTTTTACGGTTCGTTCGTTTGATTTATAAGTCATATTTTTTAGCTGATAAATAGTATTTTTCTCTCATAATAAATTAGTTTATGATATTTTTAATTATAGCTTATCAGACAAATAAACAGAGCATTTATTTGCTGTTTACAAGACGATTATTTTCTTCTCTTTTTTTCGTCACAGAGATGGCACGTCCGTTTCGGAGTCAGAGAACTTGTGCGACTTCTCCTCGTGCCCCATGTAGGCGTAGGCGTACATGCATTTTGCATGCAAGGTGTGGAATGGATCAAGTTTGTCGTCCCCGTTCGGAATGATGAAACAGATGATCTTCTCGATCTGTATCTGAGCGTTTTCCTCCTTTCATCCTGTGTTGGTAGATGTAGAGGCTTAGCTGGTCTGTGTCTGTAAGCTTTCTTGTATGTTTTACAAAACCTTTTTTTATTCATATGTTTTACAAAACTTTAATACAGTCAGGTGTTATAAAAAAAACGGATGGCTACTTTTAAATTAAGTTAATGATCCTGTGGAATGGATTGAGCATCTCTAAGAGTTTCCTAAATCACTTTTTAATCCTTGGTTTTTAGCAAGATGAGAAAAAAAAGTTCTCTCCAACACTCATAATCCATCCTTCTAATCTTTTAGAACTTGAAAAAAGTCTTGTCGGCCAATCTAAAGGTGGAAGGACGTGGAAAAAATAAAGAGCAGGAAAGGGTTCTTGATGTAAATGTACAAGAGAGAAAGAATAAATAAAAGTGGTTAGCATAATTTATAAATAATATAGTATTCCTGATGTACAATTGTCTTCTATATTTTAGGAGTGGATTATTAGAAACTCTCGGAGATGTTCTTTTTTATGTCTTCTAATACTTCTGTAGGAGTCGTAAAACTTGAAAATATTGGATACTCTTGATATGCTCAATCTGTATCCTATTACAGTTCCATTATGATTGCCGTCCGCAGCGACGTCCGTTAGTCTTTGTGCAGAAATTGAGACAAAGCATGTTCTAACAAGCATGTTCTAACAAGATGAAGGGTGTAAATGTCTGAGTCTACAATATGACTCCGACAAGCATGTTCTAACAAGCAATCATTAGGACAAGTGATGGTGGTGCATATACTTTATGATATACAGTTAACAACAACATATCTGTGCCTTTATGGTATGTTTACCGGATGAATTAACTCCTAGTTTTTAAACCTAAATAAACATGTAACAATACCAACAAAGCTTTTTCCCATCTCCAAACGTATTTTTAGGCCAAAATGTAAAAGAAAAAAAAGGTCTCTAATCGACCACTCTATCTAGCGTTGTGTCCCCAGGCCAACTCCTTGATTTGAGATAAGGGCAAAATAGATTCACATGTATCTCTCCCTACCCTCGAGGGATGAGTCAATGATTCAAGTGTCTCTGACTTATGTCAGACAGGCGAAGCTAGAGAAAATTAAAGACGGAGTGTACTTGTTTTGCAGGTGTATAGACTTGTGTCATTGATGATGTATATATTGTAAATTTTTAGTCAAAATAACTGTTTTTTTAATTTTGGGGGTGCATTTGCACCTCCTTATGACACTAGAGCTTTGCCCCTAATGTTAGAGGAACCAGATACACCCTCAGAAGGTAGCGTAGACCTCGATTCCTTGTGTCAATCAGTCAATGTCTTGCTTTGTTCCTTACATTCTAGTCAAAAACATGGTCAACATTACAAATGACAAGTATAGGGACTCAAACATAAGGGGTACGTTGGAATCCACTAAGTGCCTGTTTAGTTCCTAAAATTTTGTAAAATTTTTCAAGATTCTCCGTCACATCGAATCTTTAGGCGCATGCATGAAACATTAAATATAAATAAAAAATAAAACTAATTACACAGTTTAGACGAAATTCACGAGACAAATCTTTTAAGCCTAATTAGACTATGATTGGACACTAATTGCCAAATAACAACGAAAGTGCTACAGTACCATTTCCTAAAAAGATTCGACAACTAAACAAGGCCTAAGAAGCATCGGGCAATCCAAAAATGAGGAGGCAAAGGGAGGTGTTATTTATGAAAATACGGGAGCCAAATCGACGGTTCGTGTTGAAGTTTCTATAAACTGTTATAGTAGAGGTCATTGTTTACACCAAGATCTGGAAGAAGAGTCGCAGAGACTAGAAAGCTCCCAAGATCATGTCATCAAGGAATCAATTACGTACAGATCGAAACCAGCTGATTCGGATGCAAAAACTAGAATCGGCTTTCTTCAGATAGCGCCAGCAGATAACGACAAAGGCTACGTTTGGCGCCAGGACGAAACATATTGGACTCTACAAAAAGGGAAAGATTAGAGTCCAAACTATCTTAAATTAGGAATGTTTTCTTTAGGGTCAAAATTTATGATGAGTCGTGGTTAGACATGAGTCATGCGCAGGTCCCAAGTATAAATATCAAGCCTCGGCTATTGTAAAGGAACAACAATCAATCCAATATACAAGTTATTTACTTTTTTTGCTCCGACCACCCCTTAGGAGTAGGAGTAGAGTAGATCTCGGCGAGTTCTTCAGCAAGTACGGCTGCATCGATCTGGTCGACCTCCACTGCTTGTTGTAAGTATCGTCATGACTTATACCTCTATTTGTACGGCTGCATCGATCCGGTCGACCTCCACTGCGACTATGGCATAAGTTAGTTATCGACTCTTGCCTAGTTCAAATATGGCTGCATCGATCTGGTCGACCCCCACTGTATGAACTAGATTAAGGTCAAGTTATCGGCTCTATCTTAGGATGACAGCATTTGGTAGATTTATTAAGTTACCGATATTGCTTATTGCTTTCATTATTTCTCTAATTACAGCAATATCACTCTGCCCGATTGGGATTGATCGAGATCGGCCTTATATCTTGTTTAGCCCATCGTTTGCTAATCTAAATTGATCTAATCTACACTTTAAACAATGAGTTATGTTTTATCGGCTGTTTTATGTCAATCCTGATCGTGCATAGCGTGCGGTTAAGGCGTGTTGTGTCTTGAGTAGATTTATTGGCTAGCGAGAACCGTTCTATGACCCGTTATCACGGTCTGTGTGATTCTAACTCACACCTCACTGTTAGCACCGTGGAGTGGGGATCGTTATTTGATAGATCTATTCCTGATAAGGCATGACTTTAGCTGTGCGCTATGCCTAAATCGGCTGTTTTAGCCGATATCGAGTGATTTCACGAACAGCTCGCATCACGAAACTGTTGAAGTAAAGATAGTTGAAAGATATGTTAGCCCCATGATCTTATTATTGTATTACGGCCTGCATGATTCTGCCTCATGCCCCACTGATATTAGTAATGAGTTATAGTCGTCGAATCTATTATTATTTCTACGGCCTGCATGATTCTGCCTCATGCCCCACTGATCATAGCGATAGATGAGATCTAACATGTTCATTGGATTTATCTTTATCAAACGGTTAAGTGGTGTTGAATTGTTTCTTTATATAAAAAGGGGTTCGATTACTTGTAATCATTGGCTCAGCATAAACCAATCATTGTTGACATCTTATTGGCATTGATTAATATCTATTCGAATAATGATATTTACCCTGAATGATAACCTATTCTTCTTATACAACCCAATGAGCTTTAATCGATTTATTCTTAAGAATATAGTAGAATCGACTATTTAGTCGATCTCCTTTCATATGGGCTCTTATAGCCGCACATTCGGGACTGTCTGGCAACACCGGCAAGTTCCGCCCTTAATTACTGATGAACTTTCTCTCTTTGTCAATTATAGGGTCAAATTGACTGGCACGTCTGACAGGCACGTCTCAGGAGGAGTGCATAGGATCGACCACCCCTACGCTGAAGCTAGGCGGATCTACAGCTTCATCGAGCAGACCCTTCCGGCTTGCTGCGTGTGTCTTCGGCACGGGACAAAAATTCTATG